CACCACCACCACCACCACCACCACCACCACCACCACCACCACCACCACCGCCCGGCCTCCTACCTGTTTTATTGAAGGCTATATGTCATCAAATTTTGTGCTTGTTTATTTACTTTTGGTCATTTCTCTCCCTCTCTCTCTCTCTCTCTCTCTCTCTGGTTTTTTGTTGTTGTTGTTGTTTGTTTTTTGTTTTTTTGAGATAGGGTTTCTCTGTGTAGCTTTGTGCATTTCTTGGAACTCACTGTAGACCAAGCTGGCCTGGAACTCACAGAGATTCACCTGGCTCTTAAAACTAGTTTCATATTATTATTTTGAATTTTCTTTCTTTGCTTATGTTATTATTATTTTTACATTTTGACTGATGTGTCTGTGAAATTTTGTAAATATTCTTTTTTAAAATTTTATTTATTTTATTGGTGCTTTGTCTATATGTAAGTCTGTGTGAGAGTGCTGGATCCTGGAGTTACAGACAGTTGTGACCTGCCATGTGGGTGTTCTGAATTGAACCCAGGTCCTCCTGAAGAGAAGTCAGTCCTCTTAACTGCGAATCCATCTCTCCAGCCCCGCTTATGTTATTTTGATACAGGTTCTGAGTTTGCTGGCCTGGAGTCCTCTGTAGACCAGATTGGTCTCAAAACTCACAGAGAACCTCCCTGTTCCCTGTGTCTAAAACTCCAAAGTGCATACCTCGGTCCCCTGAGCACCAGGGTTGTGTGTGCACCAACGTGTCTGGTTGTTTTCAGTTCTCAATACTGTTTTACCTTCATCTGTCAAGGCTTGTGCATTTCTCCTGCCTCTGTAATTCATGGCTTTCTCTAACCATCAGAGTCTACCAACAGTTATAGCTAAAATGGCAATGCTCCTGGCATTAGAACAGGAAGATGTGAAACAGAAAGTTTAGATATCTAGCCAAATGTGGTGTTGCATGCCTTTAATCTCAGCACTTGGGAGGCAAGTAGATCTCTATGAGTTCAAGGTCAGCCTGGCAGCCTGGTCTACAGAGTTAGTTCCAGGATAGCCAGAGCTGTTACAAAGAGAAACCCTGTCTTGCAAAACCAAAAAAAAAGTAAGTTTTGGTATCTTCATGGGCTTCTGCCCATTCATGCTTCCCAGACCATAAAGGGCAGGATCTCCTACAGAGGCCTTTGATGTGACTCCAGACAATGGAAGACCTGTATTTTTGTCTTGCATGCATCAGGATTCACCTAAAGTGAGTGTTTTCTGGGGAAGCAGCTAAATCATATTATAGTGAATGAAAATGAGCCCCTTGTAGATGTAGCCTAGCAACAAGCAGGCTTTGTGATGTATACAGAAGTGAGAAAGTAGAATGAGAATAAATAAAAAAAGGTCAGTACTACTATAGCTAGAGTTTTCCTGCCTTGCCCACAGTCAGGACAAATCTCTGTCATCCGCTAGTCCCACAGCCACTCAGACCCAACCAAGTAAACACAGAGACTTATATTACATACAAACTGTATGGCCATGGCAGGCTTCTTGCTAACTGTTCTTATAGCTTAAATTAATCCATTTCCATAAATCTATACCTTGCCACAAGGCCTGTGGCTTACTGGCATCTTCACATGCTGCTTGTCATGGCAGTGGCTGGCAGTGACTCCTTCCACCTTCCTGTTCTTTCTTTTCTCCTCTGTTAGTCCTGCCTATACTTCCTGCCTAGCCACTGGCCAATCAGTGTTTTATTTATTGACCAATCAGAGTAATTTGACATACAGACCATCCCACAGCATACTACCAAGGGTGGTGGTGGTGGTGGTGCATGCCTTTGATCCCACCACTTGGGAGGCAATGGCAGGTGGATCTCTGAATTCTAGGCCAGCCTGGTCTACATGGTAAGTTCCAGAACAGCCAAGGCTATACAGAGAAACCCCGTCTCGAAAAACAAAAAACAAAAAACAAAAAACAAAAAAAACCTATAGAAAAGAAACATTACTTCAAACTGTAAATTAGTTAATTTTAAAAAAGGGTCAGTACATCTCTGACCCTTTTATGAGACAATATAAGAGCTTTCAGTTTGGGGGGCATTGTGTATCGTAAAACTCAAGAGTAGATGAGAACTTTCTAACACCAGCAGAGAAATTCAGAGCTGAAGAGGAACTTATTTGACTTCATCATCTACCTTCTTTAATGTAGTTTCAAAGTAGATGTGCAAAAACTGACCTGCTAATCTTCATTTGAGTAATAATTCAAGTACACGATATTAAAAAGTCTTCCTGAACTCTCAGAAGGTAGGTATGTTAGTGGTATAACAGATGTGTGCATATACAGACACTAAGATAAAAACTTTATACACACACACACACACACACACACACACACACACACACACACGATGTCAAAACTACAGAATGGCTGGGGCTGGGGCTCAGTCGCTGGAGCTCTTGTCTTGCGTGCATCTAGCCATAGGCTTGATCCACAGAACACCACCATACAAGGTGGCACTTGATCTTCTGATACCATGTATAATGTAGTTCGTTCAAGAAAATGGTCTTAAACACTAAGCCTCTTCACTCCATTCCAAGGTGCGGGGATTACAAACCCGCATCACAATGCCCCCCTCTGAAAAGAAGACAGTGCAATCCATCACAGTACAGGAAGGAACATGTTGCAGAAACAAAGACGTCTCAGGGGTGAACATGTGTTTGTTTCCCAGGGACCAGAGTTTGGTTCCCAGGACCCACATGGTGGTTCAAACCCAGCTGTAACTTCAGCCTCTGGGTATCTCATGCCCTCTTCTTGACTCCACAGAAGTACATGCACACATACACTCACATATACAAAAATAATAATTTCTAAAAAAGATTTTATAAGATGGTAGAAGGTGTAAAAAGTATAAAAGTAAACAATAAGCCGGGCGTGGTGGCGCACGCCTTTAATCCCAGCACTTGGGAGGCAGAGGCAGGCGGATCTTTGTGAGTTCGAGGCCAGCCTGGGCTACCAAGTGAGCTCCAGGAAAGGCGCAAAGCTACACAGAGAAACCCTGTCTCGAAAAAAACCAAAAAAAAAAAAAAAAAAGTAAACAATAATGCAGAAGAAGAGATGAGCAGACAATTCAACCAAGTATATGAGCAACAGAGAAAATTACCAGAATTACCAAAAATCTAATAACTATCCTAGTTACTAATAGTTTGAATTCTCTAGTAATAAGAAAAAGAATAGCTGATTGGATTTAAAACAACACCAGTTAAGTTGTATTATTATTAATCTCACTGGCAAAGAGATTCAAAATAAAAGGATGTAAGTCAATATACCAAGGAAGTGGAAAATTAAACCAGTATATATAAATAGATAAAAAATAGATATATTTCTATCTAATAAATTAGACTTTGACCCCAAATTAAAATAAGGCAGGTCACACAATACAGGTTCCCATATATTAGTATGTAGGGGAATAATCTGTTAAGAACTTAGTAGTATAAAAATATATGCACCAAATATTAAGGTACATAATTTTATTAAATAATGCTAGTAATGACAAGACAAATGAGTCCAGATACATTAATAGTGATTTCAATACCTCACTGTTATCAAAAGATCTGCATTTCAGATTGGAAAAAAAAAATCAGAAGGAAAATACAGAGTTAAATTGTACCAGAAGTCAAAGGGACTTAACAGAAATCTCCAGAACATTGCACGCAACACTGTGGAATACACATTCTTCTCAGCATTACATGGAACATTCTCTAAAACCACATCATAGGCCTTAAAGAATATCTTCACGGCTGGGCAGTGATGGCACATGCCTTTGATCCCAGCACTTGGGAGGCAGAGCAAGGCGGATCTCTGTGAGTTCAAGACCAGCCTGGTCTACAGAATGAGATCCAGGTCAGGCACCAAAGCTACACACAGAGAAACCTTGTCTCAAAAAAGCAGGAAAAAAAAAAAAAAGAAAGAAGTCTTCACAAGTACAAAAGAATAAAGAATAAATAAATCCTTAAATGTTTAAAAAGCAAAGATGGGCTGGAGAAATGGCTCAATGGTTAAGAGCACCGTGGATTGCTCTTCTAGAGGACCAGGGTTCAATTCCCAGCACCCACATGGCAGATCATAACTATCTGTAACTCTAAGATCTGACACCCTCACATAGACATACATGTAGGCACAACACGAATGCAAATAAAATAAAATTAAAAAAAAAAAAGCAAAGACAGGATAGGAACGGAACTGTGTGGGGAAAAGAAGAAGGTCACCAGGTGACATGTCACGAGTTCCAGAACATTGCTTTACTCTTACAATCTCTGTGGTCATATTCTATACCTTTGAAACATCAACATTGTTTATTTCTTTCAGCAAAATTATGACCTTCTAGTCCTTATTTAATTCCATCTCTGTCACACCTGTTTTCATTTATGTCTTTTGATTTTCAAGATAGGGTTTC